TACCGGCTTTATACTTTAAAAATCATATCCTCCTAATGTAATATTCCACTTCTGGAGTCTTAAGAACATGGTGCTATTATCCTTAAGACCCTTGGTAAAGATGTGAACTAGAGGTTTATGGTCAGTAATAATTGTAAATTTTGTGCCGATTAAATTTCCTGGAACCTCCTTATAGCGAACATAATGGCGAGAGCCTCACGCTCAATATTGGTCTAATTCATTTCGGATTTTAATGAAGTTCTTGACGCAAAAGCTATAGGTTTTTCTTTACCATCTTTTTCAGTATGAAATAGTACAGCTCCTAAACCACATTTCGATGCGTCAGTAACTATCCCTATAGGTAATTCAGGGTTAAAATAGGTCAAAGCAGGTGGAAGACTAATCAACTTCTTAAGATCATTAAAACTTTTAGAGTGTTATAGGTTCCAAGCCCATTTTTCTTTGTTGACAATCATATATAGAGGATCGGCAATTTCTGCAAAATTGTTCAAAAATTTTATATAGTAGCCAGCCATTCCCAGAAATGTTGATAATTCAGCAGCAGATTTTGGTTCTGGCATATTAATTATTGCTTCAATTTTGTCGTGATTAGCATGAATCCCCTTAGCGTCAATATCATGACCCAGGAACCTTACTTTGTTTTTAAAGAACACACTTTTATCGAAGTTAGGTATTAGCCCAAACGATGATATTCTATCAAACAATTTTTTTATGTTGTTAAGGTGGGTTTTATCGTTTTTTCCAGTTATAAGTAAATCATCAATATAAAATATGACGTCATCCATATCACCAAAGATTTGATCCATAATCTGTTGAAAAATTGCAGATGAGGTCTTAAGCCCAAAAGGAAGTCTAGTAAATTGGTGATATCCCTTGTGCATAGATATGGTTAAAAATATTTCGGCAACTTTTATCAATTGGTATCTGTAAGAAAGCATTTTTAAAGTCAATCGTAAATTTCTTTCTTTCTGAAAGTTTAGCTATTAGATCATTGATTCGTGGTAGAGGGTATCTGAAATCTTCTAGAGCTGGGTTTACAGTGTCCTTAAAATCAGCACAAAGCCTAATGCTCCCATCATCTTTATAGACAGCGGTAACAGGACTTGCCCATTGGACATCATTCACCGGCTCAATTATCTTATCATGTATCCATTTTTTAAGTTCATTGCTAACAAGATCAATTTTTGAATAAGGAATACGTCTAGGCGGTATAATTTTAGGTTGGGCATCTCTTCTTAAATGTAACTTGACACTTGCTTTGTTGATTGGCCCATTAGTCAATTTGGATTACACTCTTTAATCAATTTTTTTATTTCATCTTCGTAATTAGTGTCAACATTTGCTATAAATTTATTTAAAATATTTTTGAAAGCATATGATCCATGTACGTCCCAACAAAGCATTTTTATTCGATTCGGCGACTACCCCTTGTAAATATTTTGAGATACCATCATAAGTCACTTTAACTTGAGTGGTGCCGATGATCTTGATTAAATTTCCGTCATAAGCGGTAAGTTGTAACTGGGATTTCTTAACATCTCTAATACCAAGTTTTTTAGCCAGACCATGAGGTATAATAGTATGTTTGGAGCCTGTATCAACTTGCATACATGTAACAATATCGTTCACTTTTAAAGTAGTCATAAATGCGTTATCTTTGTCATAGAGCATGTCACCAGATAAATTGTTAACATTGAAATCATTATCATCTTTGTTCTTTGTAGAGTCAACTTTCTCTTCAATAATTTCTTCAATATTCATATTATAATCATTGTTGTATTGTATTTGCTTTCTATTTTAATTGTCGCTACCTCTATAATTATTTGAGTTATTGTTGTATTGTATTTGTTTACTCTGATTATTGTCACTACCTCTATAATTATTTGAATTGTTGTAATAGGATTGGTAATTGTTACGATTTCCATCACCGTATTGGATCTGTTTTCTTTGATTATTATCATGCCATGTTTTATTTCTACCATAATTAGATTGATTATTATTTTTATAGCGATAGTTATTATAGTTATAGTTGTTATAATTATCTTGGTATCTCGAATTATTAATACCGTAATTGTATCTAAAATTATTATTGTAATTCCCATTTCTATTTCTATTATCATAATTATTTCTAAAATTATTTCTAAAATTATTATCAGGTCTAAAATAATTATTGTTGTCGTTTCTATTTTTATTGTAAAAGTTTTTATCTTTATCGGTCTTTTTGTCGTTATTTATATAACTTATATTATCATGACTTATCGCTGATGCTGTCTAACTTAATCCCTAACTCCACCATCTCATTTAATGTTAAGCTAATATTTTTACAAAATTTATATTTTATTTTATCATTTAAGGTAGATGTACGTAATTTTTCTTTTAATCTACTGTCGTCCGAAAAATTACATTTTTTATGCAGTTTCGATACTCTTATGTACCACAGCATGAAACTCTCAGACGAGTTCTGCTGTAATAAATTAAATTTATTAATTAAAGTGTTTTTATCTTGCACAGGTAAAGGGAAGTTAATTTTTTTAGTCACAATTTTAAGATCTAGTATGTCGGTATCAGAACAAATTGATTTAATATTGTCAAAAACCTCGTCTGATAAATTATTAAGCAAAGTATTTATTTTAATAGAGTCCGATCAGTGGCGTAGCTAGGTATTTTTCTTAGAGGGGGTCCATACATATAAATCCTGGGGACTTCTCCCCCAGACCCCCTTTAACGGGCCTTCGGCCCTTTTGCCCGGCCTTCGGCCGGGTTTATTTTAAAAATCATAATCACATCTTCAACAATATATAATAAATAAATGCATGAATAATATGTTATTATAATTTAGTAGATTTTTCTCAATGACTTTAATAATACTACCCAGAATAGTTTCAATAGTAATATAATATCCTTCCATAAACATCAAAACAAGAAAAATAAAAATATTAATGGTGAAGTCACTTATAAGTCTTTTGAACGTATAATCTAAAAAAAAAATTTGCTCTGGGAGGGGTCTAAACCCGAAAACCACCCCCGTAGCTACGCCACTGAGTCCGATAATGTGCTGGTCGAAAAATAACTTAATATTCTATCTAAATAAATCTCAGTAAGTGGTCCAACTAATTTAGGAATTATGTGTATAAACTCTGGTTTTATTTTCATATTTTATTAGTAAATCATATATATTGGAAATTATAACATTTTATATTTTAACATTTTATATTTTGACAAACATACAATTTAATTCGATGAATTCTCACTCATTATACACATAATGTTTGCCATTCAATAACTCAAAACAATTTATCATGTCTTTGAGGTTCATGAACTCAAATATAACATCGTCAGTACCCCGTATTCTAGAGTAGTTTACATCGCAGTTATAAGTCAAGTCGAACAATATATCGTAAATGGAAATTTCATAGGAATGTTGAAGAGTTTAAAAGCAAACATGATAGAAATAATATCAAAATGATTTTACCTTTTTTTTTCTTCTTTATATAGAAATTATTTGTACCGTTTTATAATTTTTTTTTATTCATATTTATAAAGAGAAAAAAAAATATTTTATTTTTAAAAAAAATTTCCATAAGGCGAGTTTTTTATGCCAAACATGGAGCACCATGAAGAGAATCATGATAAACGTGCAAGTAAGTAAAAATATATTTTATTATTAACTCCTTTTCTATTATATATATATACTATTTAAAATTAGAATATATATGATTAAACAAAAAAAACAAAAAGTAAGGTTACGAAAAATAAAAAGTAATATAAGTTGAATTTGAATTAATAACAAAAATAAAAATATTATTTGAATAAATATAAGTTGAATCTGAATTCATAACAATTACTTAGATTTATTATTAGTAAAATTTATTAAAATATTAACTGTAATATATTATATAACTGTCAAATACGCCTGTAAAAGTGGTATTTAACCTAATATTTTATAACCAATTATATCTAATAGAGGATTATAAACTATATGTTTACTTACTTTTTATATATAAATCTCTTATACTTATTTGGATTTGGACCTTAAAAATAATTTTAAGACGAGGCATGGTAATTAAATTTAAGCAATAATATATTTGATTAGTGATTTTAACTAGGCTAATAACAATATTAATTTGTTAATTTTCAATTAATATTATTTAATTAGGGTTATATAATATTTTAAATAATAAAAGTCAATAAAGCTTCAACTGTTAATGCTAAATTGATATTTAGTGAGTGATATTAATATTCTATTTTTAACACAGAATTTTATTGCAAGATGACATAGTGAAAATATAATTTATAAGTATTAATCTAATCTAATAATTAAAATAGTATTCATTTAAGAATTATTTAGATAGACTTATTAATTTTTAAATTATAAAATTAAATCTATATATCAATAGAATTATAAAAGAAATCATTTAGTGGGCAATCAAAAAAATTTATTTTTAGTTCAAGGAAATATTAAGGAGCCATCAAAAAAAATTTTTTTTTGCTTCAGGGGGCTATTCAAGTCAGGGGGCTCGAGCCCCTGCATACCCCCCTAGCGACACTACTGAACTCGCATGATCCTTTTAACAGAGCCGAATCTCTAAAAAATATAAAATACTCACACCTAATATGTGACAACCACTTTGTTTCCATAGCAGCTACATCAACCTGCTCTTTTGGACAAGCGGCATTAGATCTCTTCAAAATAATATCCAAACCAATAAAAAAATCATACCTTCCTCCATTTTATAAACTTAAGCAGAAAATCGCCGTATCTATAATTAGATCTAATTATCAAATATTTAAAACATCATGGCCCGATATCGCCACTTGATATTTTCTTTTATAAATGTTTTTTCTTTTTATAAAAATATACATTTGTATCAAACTTTTTTTTAAACTTAAGCTTATATATGACATATTTTATAATATTCTCTATATTATAATGTTAATTTTTAAATAATAATATTTTATCATATTTGTATAAACACTACTCATAACATAAGGTTTACCAACTGATAAGAAAATTTGTTTTCATACATTCATCTAAATGGACAGTAAGAAATATTTCTATAGCTATATTTAATCATAAATTAAAAATTTTTTTTAGAATATTTGTTCAACCTAAGGTTTGCATCAAAAGAACTTTTAAGAAGTGCCAAGAAATGTGAGAAGGATGAAGTTGAGCAAAAAAATAAATTGAAAAAGGTCTATATTATTTTATACTAAATATCAAATATTTAAAGGCCATTCAAAATAATAATATGGAAGGGGCAAAAATATATGCTGAAACAGCCATTAGGAAAAAAAATGAAGCTTTGAATTATATGAGAATGAGTGCTCGAATAGATGCTGTAAGCACTAGAGTACAAACTGCTACTGCAATGAAGAAAGTAAACTTTATTTTGATATTATATTAAAAAAAGAGGTACTATCATTTTTTTTTACTGTTAACAGTTTTGGCCAATATCTGGCCTTTATAAAAAAATAAGAAAATAGACTATTTTTTTTAAAAATAGTATTTTATAATTACAATATAAATATTGATGTTGTGTAACTAGTTAATTTAGGAAAAAATATAATGATTACTAGTTACCTTTTAAGTATAAATAGCAGTTGTAACTAACTTTTTGCAACACTAAAAATATTGATGAAATAAATTATGAACCTGAGATTCTTAGTGAAAGTTTAGAAAATTAAATTTGAGTCTAAAAACAGGGAAATTAGAGCAGTCACTTTTATTATTTTATTTAAAAAAATGACCTAAAAAAGTAATAATTTTTACCATAACTTATAAAAATATATTTATATTATACTGCAAAACAATTTCTTTGCAAAATTTTATCAAAATTTTTATTATATTTCGGGGTAAAATAATTTTGTATCTGCCTATATCAGTAAAAAAAAAGTTGTGCCCAATACCAATTAATACCTAGGTGTGTCTTTATTATTAAATAATTTTCTTAACCATTCAATAATCTTATGGGGGCTGTCATCAAGTATGTTAAAATGAATATTACTGGAAATGATTATTTATTATGTTCTCAAATCTTCATTAAATTTATCTTAGAATATATATATACAAAATTTTCTTAATTTATTTTATGTTCAGTAGTTTTTAAGAACATAAGCTATTTGTGATGGACTTGAATCTGTCAAACTCTATTATAAAGAATTTATTTTTAAATTCCAAATTTTTTAGAAGAATTAACATTATTGATGAGTGTCAAAACTTATATCAATATTTAAATCTAGTATTATATTATTTCATTTCTTTTCAGAGATTATCTAAAAATTATGATAAATATTTTTTTAAAGTAATATAGAATTTATCATGTTGTCGTCATCCATTGCATAAAATAAAATTTATCTGGGTTGTTTTTATAATAGATAAATGAAATTTAATTTAAATATTATTATTTTTAATAAAAAAATTGTAAACTAAATTATATAAAAATATTTAAAAATAGATACAGATGCTTTTTATAAAATTATATCTAGATACAGATACCATATTTTTGTGTCTAGATACATTAACTACTATGTATACTTGTAGTATAATAGAAACGAAATTTGAACCAGCTAGCTTTTATAAAACCCAATATATTTTAGGTTAAACTTAAAGATCCAAAAATAACTCATTTTGATATTAAATGATTAAATACTAAATCAATTTGATTATCATAACTAAGTTAATTATTAATAATGGGGGGGGGGGGTAACGAAATGTTATTTTACATGGTCATCTTTATGCCCAGTAGAAAGTTTAAACTAAATTTTTCTAGTAATTAGGAATTCTAATTTTTGCAAAAATAATTTTCTATTGTATAATAACTGATTACCTTATGTCGATAATTTACACAGAAAACATATTGTTAGATATGAGAATTTAGAGAATACAAATAAATAGCATAAATAAATTAACTATTAATACTTTATTAATTAATATAAATTGTAATTAAATAAATCAAAAATAAAACAGCAAAATAAAATAATATAAGAAAAATTAAAAGATTAAAAATTATGTTCGCAAATTCATAATTATTTAACAAGTAAAATATCCTCGATTATATATACTTTTCTATACTATTCATTTACATCGTTTATACTCAAATAATATAATAATTCGTTTCGGTTTTCTGTTTAAAAGTCGATTTGAATATTACTTCCTTTTTCTCGATTTTATTTCATTGTAAATTTACATATTACAACACATATATCTACAAAATTTAACATATTTATCTCTGAAAAAAATTAAGATTGTGCGATATATTAATATTTTAAGACAATTAAAGGCTCTTTATTATTATATAAAATTTAAAGGCACAAAATTCCAATTATCGTAATCATGTGGATTGGGCATTTTTTTTATCTTAAATAAATTTTATAAAAAATAAAAAATTTATCAATATTCTTGATATTACACATAAATTAATTATTGCTCTTTTATGTGTTAGAAACCATTAAAAAAAATATATGTCTTGAGTTGGGCATCTGACAGCTTACATAGGGCTCTAGGAATGCCTTACTGTATTGATTAATAAGGATTAATTTTATAATATTTGACACTTTTATCAAAAAATACCTCCTATAAACTTTTTATTCTTGAATCTCGGCATTCAATACCATAATATAAATATATATTTTAATAAATTCTATCAACAAATAATTATGAATCCTACAGGTGACTAATTCAATGTCTGGAGTAGTTAGAGCTATGGATTCCGCTATGCAATCAATGAACCTTGAAAAAGTTACAACTATTTTGAAAATTGTTTAAAATATTTAAATTATTGCACTTATATCATAAGATAAAACTAAATTTTTAAAAAAATTTGATAAACAAAAATTTTTTTTCCTGCTAGGTCTCTGCATTGATGGATAAATTTGAGAAAGAATTTGAAGATCTTGATGTTCAATCAAAATGTATGGATTCTGCCATGACCTCAACAACCACTATAACAGCACCACAAGAACAAATTGATAATTTGATGATTAAAGTAGCTGACGAAGCTGGGTAAATTTTATTTTTGGCCATAATCTCCTTCAAATCTATATATCTTGATGGTATTTTGATCTAAATTTTAGCTTGTAAATTGTTTAGTTATTACAAAAATACCAGAGATGCACCATTGTTACATTTTTAGCCATTATCCAAACTTATATCATCAAAAATAATTATGTAATATATTGAAAAAAAGCAATTTAATTTATTTATGAAATTAATAAAAGAAATATGAAAGATTAACAGCAACTTATCTTTTCTTTAAAAATTGGTCTCGATATTTTTAAACGGTCCATCTCTGAAAACATGCTAGATTTTTTTCTTCAGGATGCACTGATATCACTTTTTTGCCGATACTGATTAGAGATCTTCAAAACCCAACTACCGATTATATTTTTTACTTTCAGGTTATGTCTGGTCGATAATTTTATTTCAGGTGGATCAGGTTTGGAAACATTTTTTTTTACAGTTTTAAATTTAATCAGTGATATCAATAAATCATGTTTTGATTGTATATATTTTTAATTTTGTTAATTTTCGATTTTTTTTTAATTAATGATCTCTTTACTTATATTAAAATTTGATATATAAATCTATATTAAAATAACATTTAAAAAAAAAGTAAAATAACATTAAAAAGATAATTAAATAAACAAAAAAAGACAAAAATAAGTTTAAAAAAAACATATGGAGGGGGGGGGGCGCAATAAAAGGGTTCTCAATGAGATCCGAGGAAACTAAAATAGTTGCCTGGAACACGTCATACTAAAAAAATTAATAAATTTTAATTTAAATTTTTATTATTTTGATTTTCGGGTTGGGTGGGGAAAATGGTTTTCTTCTTATGAGCCGGGATAGAAAAGTCTTTAATACTGATGCCCGATGCTGGTCCAACCGAGACTGCTCGATGCTTATATTTAAAAATATATTGAATTTGAAGAAAAAAAATTGATATAATAAAGGTGCCAGTATTTTTACCTCCACGCCTAAGATTATTATTAAAAATTAAGCTCGGTGCATAATGATTGATTTTTGTCACAAATTTTGAAATATTGGTAAAGCATATAGATGGTTTTAAATTTATACTAATTTATAAAATAGAGATTAGAAGAATTTAAAAAAATATATAACTAATATAAAGCTACTTTTTAAAAAGTGAAATAATTATTTGGACGACTTACTGCTGAATGCAGATCGAGATATTGACTGCTGTTCTTTTAAAGATCAGAAATGCGTGTTCAAAGTTGACATCTATTCATAAATATAAAAAAGTTTATCTGACTTTTGTTTCTTAAGATTTGTGTGAAATCTGTTTACGGTTGCATGAGCAATAAATGTTCACACAAAGTTAAATAGAAACAATTTAATAGGGAAGAGTAGAAATAGACGGAGCTAATTTAGGCATGTTGAACGAAGGATGATTGTATGAAGAGATGCACCTTGATGGAATCAATTGTATCAATGCCTCAGGGAAAGAAGGCCTAAGAGGATGAAAGTGATACAGATAACATGAGAATAAGTTTTACAAATAATTATCCCCACCACCATAGAAGGGGAGGAAGGAATCAGATAGGAAATTGTTTTACTCGGCTATTTTAGAAAACTGCCATTAAATAAAAAATACATTTGCGAATAAAATTTAAGCAATCATTGCCCAGCCAGCCAGAGTTCGGCAGCTCCGAAAAAAGAATCTAGATACAGATACAGATTCTTTGTTAAAAAATGTATCTTAGAAACAGATATTAGTATCTTTTTCAAAATATTAAAATGATACAAGATAAAAGATTGTATCTTTTGTTTAATTAGAGTATCTTAAATACAAGATACCTTTAAATTATCATTATTAATTGTTTATAAATTACAGTTTTTATTATTTATTTGTGAAGAACATAACATACACATATAATATGAATGAATATTTACATTTGCAATAATTAATAAAATATTTAATGATGAGTTAATTATAATAATCAGGCATTTTAATATTAGTAATAAACTTAGCATAGATAGAGAAGGGAGACTAGTATTTTTAATGGGAGTTAAAATATTAATTTGCAAAAGAGTATTTAAAATAGATTCATTAATTTATAAGATAATCAAATTTTTCAAATAATTTAGCATTAGATTGCCTTTTTGGCCTACTTAACATTGTGCAAAACAAATTATCTTTCAATTGGAGCTAAATTATATTTATAAAAAATTTCCTTAATGGAAGGATAATTTAAGCATTTATAATGTATTTCGACTTTCTTTAATATAATTTAAAACCTCCAGTTCAATGTTATTTGTATTATTGAACTCAGAAAAATTTGTTTCACTAAGAGAAAATATCATTTTCTTTATTGTTAAATCTATCGGTGTTATAGATTGAACTTGTATATACTCTGGTTCTACATTTAGAGCTTCTTTTATTAATATATTTTGAAAGTATTTGCTTTTATCATCTGACTTAATCCATTAAAATATGGATGTGATATTGATGTCAAAAAAGCCTCATTATATTCAAATCACAGGAAAATATTTTCTTAAAATCTATTGCCCATGCCACCTTAGGCAGCTTTTAATTAAGGTAGAAATATTGTAAACTTGAATATTTAAGATAACCTATGCCCGTTTTAACCACACATAAACAATATACTTTAATATGTTTAACAAAATTTGTGTTTAACCATTTATCATTTTTTTGTTTATACAGGTTCTACATAGCCTGTACGTTGTCTTTTTTAACTTTTATTTTTTAAAATTTTAAGATTTGGATGATTCGCGGGAACTTATTTCCATAATTTAAATTTTACTACCATGAGTGCTAATCAGAGTTGTTAACGCTCCTTTTTAAAAGTAGCCAGCTCCCGCTTCTACCTTCTCAAAAGGAGCTAGCTCCCGCTCCCGCTACTACATTTTTAAAAGGAGATAGCTCCCGCTCCAAGTAATGGAGCGCCACTCCATAACCGCTCCTTTGATTTTCATTTTTTAGAAGGTACGAGAAACAAAATCATATTTTTTATCAAAAGGTTTCATTTATATTAAATGATCTATCAAAATATTTATAATCTTTTATTAGCCTTTAAAAGTAATAAATTTTCTAAATTAGAATCTAAAAAACATCTATGCTTCTCACCTATGACTTGTTTTGCAATACTAAATAAGCGCTCCACAGGAGCACTAGAGGGAAGCGGGGTATTGTATTTTATAAAGATATTTTTTAATTCAGGTATAAAAAAAGGAGGTTGAACAAGTAATGAGAAAATTAAAATAAATATTAATATATATTTTAAAAAGCATCATATTCATATCTAACAACCCAGGCTCAACTATAATGAATTGCCCAAATATAATTATAACCATTTTAAAAAAAATTATTCAAAAATAAAAAAAAATATAGTTATCGTTTTGTATTTAAAAGAAAGGTTTTTTACTTTTAAATGCTTTTTTAGATTGAAGCTGCTCGCTTGAAAATGAAATACTTTTACTTAACCACAAAAAGCATTTTGCCCTTAAATTTGTTTGATCATTTGGATCAACATCTTTTAGAAGTTTAAAATATTTTGATGATGGAAATGGAAATTCGATTTCTTCTTCTATGATCTCTAAATCCATAATATCTAAAACTATTTTTTATTATATATCTATAAAATAAATATTAATATAACTTACAAGATTTTCCAAAAAATTTTCAATAGAGAAATGAAAAACTTGATGTTTAATATTTAAAATGATTAGATGAAAAACCAATATAAAACTCGGCTCTAATGGATAAATTTAAATAAAAAAAATTTCATTTTTATTGAATTTTAATTAACAAACATTATTAATATTTAAAAAATAATTTAATTTATACCTTAAATTTAAAGGAGCTAGCTCCCGCTACCCAGGAGGCCTACAAATTAAAAAAAGGTACATAGAACATGTATTACCTGAAGCTTCATGTTATTTAATTTGCCTTATTATCATCTAAAATTCATAATATTATAGTTTTAAAGACAAAATTTTATCCTCTTTTTATTTTTAACATTAGTAAATTAAAAAATGATAAATGCCATATTGATTATTTATTATTCAAATGTAAATAATATATAACTTGTGTAGTAAATTAAAATGATTAAAAATATACTTAATTTAATATTTTGGTAGTTTCAATAAGGATGATCTGTACATTAATTTTAAATTTAATATTTTGTAAGTAGTTTCCAATTTATGTTATCACACCTGAAAGGGATCAAAATGTTTCATTTCTACACCCTAGTTTATGTCACTTGTTGGGCAATTATTGTATTAAAATCTATTATTTCTTAGAATCTTTTGTCTCCTTTATAAAAATTTTATATTATTACACGGATTTATTTTTATCCTTGAAATAAATTTTTGGCCTGACAAAAGAAATTTCAGATCAGACCTGACTTGCAAAAACAGGTCCAATGCAGGGTTTGATTTACTGGCGATAATATTATGGGCACTTTTCTTAGTTTAAATCACAGAAAAAAATTTTTCTAAAAATTAAATATTAAAAATTTTTTATCCTTATATTCATTTTTTTTAAAGAATCGAACTAAAAATGGAACTACCCGGACAATTAAGCACTAGTATAGGAACTGCAACCGCAACGGCTGCCTCATCCGTAGAACAAGACGAATTATCTCAAAGATTGGCAAAATTAAGACAAAGTTGAAAGGGTGATATGGATCATTTTTTTAATAACCAAAACATACCATATTTTATAAAGGCACAAATATTCGAATGATAATATAGTAAAGAGTTTTGATAAAATATTTATTTTCAAAATAATGTCTAAATTATTCTCAATTTTATATAATTAATTTTAATGCTAATTTTCCTATGTTCAAAATCTACTTGAAAAAATGTTAAAGCACTATGTATTATGCTAGAAAATAATATGTTTTTTAAACTCCTTTATGAATATTGATCGTATAAATTGGAGACGCATATAATATATTTACTTATTTATTTATATTTTTTGTCGTTAATATTTGATAATAATAAATAGAAATTATCGGGTCCCGATTTAACTTGTTCCTAATCTAAATTTTCAATATTTAATATATTTATTAATAAATATTTGAACATACTAAAGTCATTTTTTTATTATTTGATTTGAGACTATAGTTAGTTTATAAATTTATATATAATACAATACACCATGACTATAGCAACCGGATCTAAATTTAAAAAAAAGAAGACATAATTTGATTGGTTAATTATAAATCAATATCTGCATTAGGAGAGAGAGAATTTAAAAGCTTGAAATTAGTGCAATAAAATTTGACCGCCAAAAAAATGTTATTGGAATGTTTGAGATACGGAATAATTACACATCCATAAAAAATAAACTCGATTTTAAAAATGATATAAACAAATAAAAGCTATTTATATCCTTGATTTTTTTTCTACTTCTTCATAAAAGGTCACTTAAAATAGTATTATCACAGTTTCGTTAAATCGATATCAAAAAATCGGCCGGCCCGCGCGCTTAAACTTCTGTGAGCCTTAGTATCGTTATACTTTTTGATAGCCTTCAATAAAATACTATTAACGATGTCGTCGGTTATTTCATTAACAACCCTAACCTCCTCTTCATCACGTTCCTTGTGAAGATCGTTATTGTTATCAACTTCTTGACTATTATCGATAATTTTGGTTAGTTCACCCTCCTTGGTTTTTTCTATTTTACTTCCATCGGTTGCGCTAACTGATATTTTAGGGTCGTATTTAGTCAAATAATCATAAATTTTGGGATACTTTATCGGCCATTGAAGATGATCATCGGTGCTATTTTCTACCAACTCTAAAGCCCTATCTAAACTTAATGTTTTACCGCCGCGCTTCTTGTTTCGTTCGTGCCTCACTTGTTTATCTCCAGTTCCTTCTGTCGAAGAAGCATTTGTATTTAAATTAGGTAACGGACTAGGTGTTTTTTCAGCCGTCAGGCATTTAGCCAAGTTTTCTTGCAGGCTCATAATTGTGGATGAGACGTTATTGAGCAAGTAGCTTCTTTCATCCTCAGTTAATTTTTCATAATTCATAACTTTGTTCTCCAATTCATTCAAGTCCGCGAGTAAAGGATCTTCCATTGTATCTTGTTCCAGAGTAGCTTGAGTTGAGTCGACATCATCAAAGGCGTTATTTACCACAATTTCGTCAAACCCAGGTTTATTTATATGAGAAGTATCTACTTCGTTTAATTGATTTTCAGAGTAATTATTATCTTTAGTGGTGTTAAGATTCATGCTAATTTTGGGTTGGTCAGAGGTTTTCAGAGGAGTGTTCACAATGGTTTGAGATTCTGAATTTTTGCCGATACTCGCTGTTGGGAGGAATGGGGAATCATTTAGAGCGTTTTCGGATAATTTAGATGGTTCATCTATTTTGAAAAGCAAGTTTACGTTAGTATGAGAATCTAGAGGTTGCACTTGATTTTTGGTAGGAGATGCTAATATAAAAGTTTCGGCGGTAGAAGTGGATGGCTAAATTATGTTACACAAGAGTAAAAAATATTTAATGAATGTTTAATTTAAAATAACATTTTAAATATTAAGAGGTATTCTTAGATAGTTGGGTAATGACTAAATGTAGGCATATTCAGCTCAATCTTCAGGCACAAATTTGAGCTACGATCTTTAAGAAAAATCCAAAGCCAAAACAATAGTTTTCGGCTAAAAACTTGGTTTAGACTGTAAAAATAGAGTAATTACCCAACTATAGTTCTTAGTTCCACATTTAAGCTGCATTTAAAACGATGACTTATCCAGTATTCTTAAACAAATTAATTCAAAACATATTTTAATTAATATTTTTCTTCTTCATATATAGAAATTGTAAAATAGGTTTATAAGTAAAAATATATTAGTGTTAAACTGTTGATATTAAATTTTTTAGACTTTACCGCAGCATTTAAAAATGTTTCGAAAATCATTGGCTATCTCTAAACATTGCAGCTTTTAGCACAAAGAAGTGAACTAGGACGACCTTTTATGGTCTTTTAAATGAGACAATTTATTGCTTAATTTTTATCTGAGACATGCAAAGGTACCATTTGCATGGCCCGGTCCAAATTTTTTTTTAAAAAATCGGCCCAGGTTTAAAAAAATTTTTCAAGGCCGGACCAGGTCTCTGATTTTTATTTTATAAAATGATAACTTAATATAGAAAAGTTTAAAAATATTTTTAATATAACAAATATTGCTATACCCTTATGATTTCATTTTTGGCTGAATTTTGGTTGAAGATGATATTCAATTTTCTATTCTTATCAACATCTTCACATATAAGGGAACCCAAATTTTCGATACTTTTTTTCAAATCTTTAATCTTAAAAATTAATTAAATATGTACTTTTTATTATCCTGATCGGATTCCTGTTAAACTAATTATATATATATAATTTAAGGTAAGACAACTAAATAAAGCAACAATTATAGTCAGCGCTAGGCCTTAACAACCAGTTCGCTAATTATTTTGGTAAATAAGTGTTAGGTCTACAGTTATTTAATTGCCTTAGACCCTAAGGGTCCTTGTACTAAGAAATCGTTTTGTAAGCCTGGCTAGCCACTGTTCTGCCAACATTATAGATTAAATTTCTATAAATTCTAAAAAAATAAAAATTTCAATATATTTTATCATATTTATATTAAGAATGTTTTCATACATCTTTATAATTATACAAAGTTCACTTTTATTTTAGTCAAATGTTTTTCAAGTGCATCATGAAAAACTTAGAATATGATCCATTAACAAACTATTTTCTAATTGATATTCCATTTATTAAGTTAAAGTCCTCGCTTCAGCATTGATAACTTTATTTGCAATTTTTCTTGGTCCCTACAAGTTTCAATAAAAAATTTAATATAATCCCGAAAATGGCTCACATTTATTTCAAATTTTAATAATTTTAACAAAATTTCTAATTCCTTTTTCTTTCCCTTCAGAGGGGTGATATATTTCTGATTGACCATGATGCTGACTCTAATAGCTTGAGGTCTATAAATTTGTTTTCGAATTATTATCTAAAAACGATTTCAATTTATAAAATAAAAATACGATAAAACAAATAAGAATATATTAAAAAAGAAAAATTTTATATTAAAAAAATATGTTTCTGATTTATTTATATTTAAGTAATTAGCAGTTAATAGTTTGAGTTCCAAGTGCTCGATAATTTTTTCTAGAATTTATTTCGTAGTATGGGAAAAATAATATTATGTAAGCCTCGAAATTTGGCAAATAGAAGTCCAAACCTTTTTGCCACCACCAAAATCTACACTTAAATAATATTATTTTGGCGAATATCTTATGGGGCTTTTTTAAAAATCAACCCAAATCGGGTCGTTTAACAACACTAGTGATAGGTTTGTATTGTTCACTTTTAATTAAATTTGTTACCTGTTCCAGTATCAAAAAATCCTGAAAATAAGTATATATAAATTGGATGGTTAATTTAACCTAATCCGGGCGGGAAGATGGGAATTAATAGTATTAGAATTCATTATTTTTCCTTATTAATTTCTATTAAAAATAAAATAGTATATTATACCAAAGGGGTTGCCTTTAATTAAAAGGCGTTCGCAAATAATGGCAAAAATGTAACAACTGGCTCTAGCCCAGCGCTTTTTATAGTGCTAAATTATATATTCTCAAAAATGAACAAGCAATATTTTGCAATCATATTAATTTAGTCATATATTTTTTTGATACAAGCGACTCATGGCATGCTACAACAACTAAGTCGGTAAATAGCCCAAACTGAAAAATTATTTTATGCCATCTATATATCTGTTTTTTTAATTATAACTTAAACTCATATGTGCTTTTTGGTAAAACCATCTAGCTAATATCAGCCCTTTGACTAGTGTTGCGTAATCGGCCAAAAACTACGCCTAAGCCTAAAATCGGCTAAACCTATTTGGCTAAGCCTAATTAGGTTAAGCCTAAAAATCGGCTAAGCCTAAAAATCGGCTAAGCCTAAAAATCGGCTAAGCCTAAAAATCGTCTAAGCCTATAAATCGGCTAAAATTAAATTAGTCAAAATTCTACTAATTATTATTTATTTATTTTAAAAATACACATGTTATTAATACTTATTTTAACATATATTCGTCAAAAAATTCAAAAAACTTATAAAATAACGATTATGACAATTTTCACTTTTCATTGGTACATCTTCACTAAATTTTTATTTAAACATCTTATTAATACTCATTTTAACATATTTTCTTCAAAAAAATTCAAAAATTTCTAAAAATAACGATTATGACATTTGTCACTTTTCATTGGTACATCTTTACTAAATTTATATTTACACTATTTTAACATATTGTTGTCAAAAAAAATCAAAAAACTTTAAAAATAACGATTATGACAATTGTCACTTTTCTATGGTATATCTTCACTAAATTTATATTTACATATGTTATTAATACTTATTAACATATTTTCGTCAAAAAAAATCAAAATTAACGATTATGACAATTGTCACTTTTCATTGGTACATCTTCACTAAATTTTATTTAAACATGTTTTCAATACTTATTTTAACATATTTTCTTTAAAAAACTTATAAAATAACGATTATGACAATTGTCACTTTTCTATGGTACATCTTCACTAAATTTTTATCTAAACATGTTTTTAATACTTATTCATATTTTCTTCAAAAAACTTTAAAAATAACGATTATGACAATTGTCACTTTTCATTGGTACATCTTCACTAAATTTATATTTACACATGTTATTAATACTTATTTTAACATATTTTCTTCAAAAAAATTCAAAAAACTTTAAAAATAACGATTATGACAATGTCACTTTTCATTGGTACATCTTCACTAAATTTATATTTACACATGTTATTAATACTTATTTTAACCTATTTTCTTCAAAAAAATTCAAAAAACTTATAAAATAACGATTATGACAATTGTCACATTAAAATATTATCCTTAAAAAGATCATATAAAATAACATCAAAAAAGTTTCATAAAATCCACCTCATTTAATAAAAAATAGATAATTTTAAAAAAATTATAAAAGATTTCACCTAAAAGATTGTTTATTTATCGAATAAAATTTACAATATAATTCCTCAATAAAAGATGTATACAAAGAAGACTGTGATAATCACTAATAAATTATATTAAAAAGAATATTACATTTTTACAATATAGCAGCCATATTATTTTTTTTAATTAAAAAAACATCACAAATAAATAAATTTATTTTCATTTCAAAATATAATAATATAAATAAAATATATTAAATTATATCATGTTTATTTGTTGATAATAATAAAATATTTATATTAAATATAAATAAAATAAATTATTTTACTAAAATAAATAAATAATAATTAATGCTAATAAGCATAGATGCAGAATTTTGACTAATTTAATTTTAGCCGATTTATAGGCTTAGTTAGACGATTTTTAGGCTTAACCTAATTAGGCTTAGCCGATTTTTAAGCTTTACCTAATTAAGCTTAGCCGATTTTTTCACCTAAAATCTCGGCTCCGTTTTGTGATCGGCTAAAATTAGTCGATTTCGCAACACTTGACTGCTGATATTTTAGTGATGTTAAGGTAACTAGTTACATTTTGGCTAAAAAATAACTGTAACTAGTTATATTTTTTAAAATTTTAACTAGTTATAATTTTTTATTTTTAATATGTTGTGATAAATTAATTTTAAATTAAATTTATTAATTTAAAATTTTGTGAAAATGTCTGATTGTTTAATTTCCCGTTCAAATTGATTTTCTTTTCTTATATTGTTACATTGCTGCTGGGCTTCATAATTTTGTAAGCAAATTCAAGTAATTTAATAAATTTTAATATTATATTTATTTACAAATGTAGCACAATATATTTTTTTCCGTCAAGTAACAAGCATTGGAACTTCATATCATACGTAATAAAAAAAAAATTTAATTTAGTATAAGGAAAAACAAAGACAGATTATTTTAGAATTTAATATTAAATTATTAATCATTACTTACAAGAACCAAGTCTAACAAAAATATCATGTTATAGGTTTAATAATCTTTATGATAATGACAAATCATTGCTGCAATTCTTCACCCTTTATTTAAAACTGACTGGCCTTGTGAATCCCAGACGAATGAATCATGCTTAAAACCAACATCACTTGAAGTAGTTGGATTTTTTGACCTAAAGCGCCAAAATATTCTGGATAATGAACTTATAGAAAACTTTATCAAATCTAATAACAACACTTTTTCTTTATATAACGATTTTCCAAAATTAAAATTACTCTTTATTAAATATAATGTTGTTCTTCTAACATCAAATGCTCCCGTAGAGCGCTTGTTCAGTCTAGGTAAGCTCATTTTTGGAGATAAACGAGCACGTCTTCTAGATAATAACTTTGAAATTAATTTGTTGTAAATAGCAAATAAACATTTATTAGATTCTAATTTTTATGAAAAATAAATGTTTTTTTTACAATGCAAATATATATTTTTATATTCGATGTAAATATTCAATTTTGCGATATTTTTTTATATAAATAAATTGTATAATAGTTTAAATAACTGATTATACTTTGTTTATCCTAATTTTTTTTATATTAAATAAATGCATTCAATAATTAAATAATGCGCATATGAATGATGTATAAAGTAAGTAACTAGTTACTTTTGAAAATAACTGTAACTAATAACTAGTTACTTTTGTAAAAATGTAACTAGTAACTGTAACTAGTTATGTTTTTGCCAATGTAACTAGTAACTAGTTATGTTTCAAAAGTAACTTTTAACATCACTAATTACTATTCCTTACTAGTTCACATCAGGCCTTGACCTGAATTCCATTTAAAATAAATATAAATTATTTTTCAATATATGGCTATTTACCGACATCTGATGTAACATAGCACAATTTAACAGTATACTAAGCTTCTTATTTATATATGATATAGATATATTTTTCCAAATACTTCATCCCACATTATTTGCAGCATATTAAATTGCGTTTCTCTCATTTCTTTTTCCAATTTTTTTTCTTCGTTACGTCTTAATAAAAAAATATACAAATTTATAAAGGAGGTCTATATGATTCCCAGAACATTTTTCTTATAAAAAAATAATCTTGATTTAAAAAAGTATGAATATATATCATAGACCTGCAGTCCTGACACGGGTACACGGAGAGGGCCGTATTTTAATTTTTAAATATACCCTGACCGGGCCGAATATTTTAGGCCAAATATTGTTAATCGCCTTTATTATCTGTAAAAATTAATAATAAATATAATATATTTTTAAGAAATCCGAGCCGGGCCTGAAAAAATAAAACATGATACGGCAGGGCCGAAATTTTTTTTAAAATCCGGGACGGGCTGTGCAAATGGTACCTATGCAGGTCTCTGGTATATATATATATAAAGTTAATATACAATTTAATCTGAGCGTGTATGTTGAAAATATGTTCCTCTATTCTTCTCATCCTCATACATTGCAATTTTTGAGTAATACTGGGATTGTGTCGTAACCTGTGACCCCTCCACCAGGCTTGGATCTTGGTGGCGGCGTTAGAGGTTTTTTCATATTTCTTGTTCTTTATATTTATTTATATTGACAACAGTTTTATAAATTAGGAGCTTTTAGATTTTAAAAATCATTCTATTAGAACACTATAATAAACTTAATAAATAATTAAAAATAGATGCAATGGATAAAATTGATAATATTGGAACGCATTTACCAAATTTAATATTAAAAAGTATTTTAAATAAAATTGGATTATTAAAAAAGTTAGCATAATGAGTGATATCTCATATGATAGGAAAAAGAGAGTATAGAAAAGTTAACATCAATATGTACTAACTAATTCAAATTTTTTAACTCCAGGCTTAGATGGACTTGAGCTGGACCGATGCGAACCATAAGAATTGGATAATTTGTACTCAGTCTTATGACTATCTGGGCTGTTTTGATAGGTTTGAATTGAATGATTTGTTTGTTCATTTTTCAGTCTGCTGATGCTAGCATTGTTGGAAATTCTGGCGGTTAAAGAAGTGTCTGTGTTTTCATTAGATTCTGTATAAAAGAAACAAAGTATAAAAATTAAGAACAATCCAAATAAGTTTTCCTTCAACATTAAAAAAATATTTTATACCATTATCAGTTTGTATGGGAATTATATATCTCGCTTTAGTGGATTGGATTGGTATTGTAATTTTATGAGCACTTCCGGGAATGTTACTATAACCTCTGATACCGTTCATTTCAAATTTAGTTGGAGAGGTTATGGGCGATTTACAATGTTGATTGTTACCTACATGAATATAGAAATTACCTAAGCTATTTTAATATTATAATAGAAATTATTGCAATTCTTTATTAAATCTTAAATATTTACATAGAAGATTCCTACAACTTTTAACACTATTACGAGTCTAATATTTCATAAAAATTTTAACAATAATTCAAAATATAAATCCAATCCTAATTAAAAATTTATATTTATAAGTATACACTGCTTTAAATTATAAAATAATATTTTTATAAAATATCTACGCATAAAAAATTTTATATTAAGAAAATAGAAGATCAAAAACAAACTATGTTATTAAAAAATATTGAAAAGTAAAAAATAAATAAAAGTATATATGGTTATTGCGAGTAGAAGTGTGCGCGGGCCTACCCGCTCACGGTGACATTAAAAAAAATTTAAGCTCTTTCATTACCAATAAAAATTTGTTTGACCCGATCCGCTCTAGAAATACAATATGATCAAGCCCTTTTTCAAAACTTTATTGTTATACTTTTACGTTTTTTGAATTTATTCTATCATAGTTTTTATTTCTCTAATTCCATATTAATAACACAAAATAATTACAAATTATAAATCAATATTTTTATTTAGAAAAAGAAGAATGTCAATATTTTTTTTTCAATTGTGTTCGCCTTTTCTCTAATAAGTGATTGTCTATAGAAAATAACCTAATTTGCAGGCTGATAAAATTTTACTAGTTAATTTTCTCAAAAAAGTAATGAATTGCTTCCAAAATTTCAAAAATTATTGTTTTATGAGCAATGAATCTTTTAAGTTCATTCTCACCATCGGTAGATATTAAAGCTTCATCAAAATCATCTAGGAATTCTCTAAATGTTTCATTTAGAATATACGGCTTTTTATGTGTGTAGGATAAATTAGAAAAGTTATAAATGGTTAGCATTGACTTATGCGTATCAATATTTTATATCAATTATCATTTTTAGGGTTCTTGTCCTGTTTTTTAGGGCTTCGATTACTATCTATCACCTACAGAAGGTTGACAAAATTTTACTAATTTTCGTTTCCATATATAAACTTCATTTATTGGGGGATGAGAATCTGCGCTCAGATTATCCGAGTCTTTGAATATTTATAAATTTTTAATAAAGATAAATGAAAATAAAACATTTAAATTTAATTTATTTATTATCAAATTTCCATGCTGAACGAGAGTTGAGATTTATTATTTATCATTCAATTGAAATTTTATAAGACGGGAAAAAAATGTTATTAATAAAATGCGGAAAGTTTTTTTGTTTTCAAAAATTATTCATTTGTCAAAAAGAACCAAATTAAATTAGAAATATATTATTATTATAAATTTGTAAATTTATTTAAAAAAATTTAGTGTTTCACGGGAAATTGATGTTCAGGCTCAATCATACACGGCAAAAATTATGGGAAGGCCCGTCACGCGCAATAATTTAAAATTCATTGAAACTCACGCCGTGACCCACCGGGTCACACGTAATTTCAAGGCCAGCGACCACCTCTACATGCGAGCCTTTCCGAAGATAGAATCTTTTCTGGGATTCATAGGTAAATATATGGATGTGTGAGCCTAATTCTTTGAAGATGGGTAGTGCAAGGCCACAATATGTGGCTAAAGTAGCGAAGATGATTGTATAAAAATATAATCATCGGATTTTTTTATTAATTTAAACCAGAGATCTGCAGAGATACTATTCGCAAGGTCAATTTTTTTTAAAATATATTTTTTTAAACTTCTATAAGTAATAATGGCGATTTAAAAAATAAGGCCCAAATATTTAAAAAAAACTGCAGATCTCTGATTTAAACACCAACTATATTTAAATTAAATAACAAGATTTACTTGCATTTCGGTTGATATTATTCATTAGTATGCGAGTTTGTTCCGAAAATTTTTCTTTGACCCGGTAAATGTTGTTATCGTTTTTACCTTTATAGCTATTGAGTGAGCTCTCGTTGAAAATATTGTTATTATTACGAGAGCCGGGGGAATTATTGGTGTAAGAATGGTAAGATTTTGACATTATCTTAGATAGCTCCGGTCGATTATTCTTGAGTTGGCTATCTGGAATATTGTTAGCATTTATCGGCTTACGCCTATTTTCTTCATCCAGTTGAGAAACGAAAAGTTTTTGATGAATCAAAACTGTTTTTAATTTATTTTCGTCGAGAGATGTCGATGATGACTTTTTTTAAGGACAGGTTAGTTTAAAAGATAAATAAAAAGAAATATTTTAGAAAAATTAAAGGGCAAAAAGTTAATATTATTATTAATTAATATTTACGAATAATAAATAAAATAGCTTACTCAGGGGGGAATTTTCATGTGATTGCATCAATAAATCGAAAAACTTTAAAATAATTTCTTCCTTGCTTATCACCAAATAGGAATATAATTTATTTATTAATATTCTCTAAATGATAAAGGGTTTAAATCCACTTTTGATTAATCTTTTAGCGTTAAAAACATATCTATAAGAGTTCCCTTATTGATTAAGTGAAGTTACCGAAGTGTATAAATAGCGATGATATAGTAATAAATATACTATATCGTCTTCCGGGTTCAACGGGCAATGTTTGATTAAGTAAATGACTAAATTAGCGTGTTCGCCGATCCTAAAATTAGAGACTTTACCTTGACTGTACAACCATTCGGCTTTTAAGCTTTCGGTTTCGGACGTAGATTGGTTATCAAGTATTTTCAATTTGGTACACCAGCTTAGGACATACGGGCGGTAATCAAAATTTCTAGAAAATTTGGTAAAATTATGTTAATAATATAGGATAGAAATTAGAGGTTACAAAATCAGACCTAATTTAAAAACCAAAGCCTACCAATATGTATTAGATCGAGAAATTGTGATTATTTCCTATACTCGGGATGAGTTAGGTCAGGAAATTTTTTGGTGGGTTGGATTGGGAAATATTTTTTTCCACAATTATAAATTTAATCAACGATATCCAAATTTTTGTTTATAAAAGTTTAATTTTTTTTAAAAATATACACCCTAAGTTAAGTTGTGTCGACTTAATATCCGTTATTCGATTTAATTTTTATATTAAATGTTTCCAGACAGAACCCGACAATGTTAAGGAAGTAGTTGATTTTTAAAATTAACATTGGAACGAGGATTTTCTTATCATTAAGAATTTGATTTCGAAAGATATTATTAAAATTTATATTTAAAACACTCTCCTCTTAAGAATGCAACTTGGATTTTTTTTTAAATCGATAAAATATGACATAATTAATTTTAAATTATATAAATTAATTGTCCAAGAATTTCTTTATATTTTATAAACTTCTTCGGAAAATAAATGATAAAATTTTTCATTTACAAAAAAGATCTTTTTTTACAATTTCGTTCATTTTAGATTATTTCTTGTGGCGTAGTGAAAAATAAATAAGTTTTAGGTTAAAATAATTTTGATCTTCTTATTGAGTTGGAATATGGAATTAATTTGATGTTGAGATGAGTAGGGAAAATGCCTTTTTTTAGGTCAGGTCGGGATTTAAAATTTTTATCTAAGAATTTTTTGACATGGTTTTTGGATTTTATATTTTACCTGATCTCAAATTTTTGAAATTTTGGTATAAAATGTTTCAAAGGGAAATTGAAAATATGAACATCAAACAGTAAATGATTAAACGCTTATTATATGATTTTCCAACTGATAAATTGATATAAAATTCATTTTTATCGGCCCCAGCATGAATTCTTAATTTTTTATTAAAATTTTTATGCCCGTCTTAAATTTTTGTAAATCATACCATTTTCGGTTATCAAAAAATTGAGATAATGGGGTTTATATTGGATTGTATTGGTATTAAAAACCAATAAAATATTAGCAGTTTCCATTGTCCACCAAATGAACTAAAGCGCAAACTAAAATGTATACTGGTTAAACCTCACATTGGCCTAAGCTTTCGAATTATTGCTTACAAAAGTTAAGAAAACTTGATGCTTAAATTCAGATTCATATCAAATTTTTTAAAAATATAAATCGATTCAAAATATGATAATCACTATTTGATTCTATATCTATTTAACTGAAAGGACATATAATATATATAAAGATCGTAAAATCGAATAAGGGAAAAAGAATTATGAATGTATTTGGACGTAATTAATTTTTTTTATAGTGATCTAAATTTAAAACTTAGATTAAGGTGTGCCGTTATCGTTTTTATTTTGTCTTTAACTGGTACTGACTGATGAATTAGTAAGTAATAATTAAGCATTAAATATTGTAACACCCCACCCAGATATTCAGTGGTTCTATAATTTTCATTCTGCCATGATGCGAATCGTTATTATTTTTCCAATAATGCGTTTTTAATCAAATTATTTATCAATTTCAAAAGGGTTGAAGCCTTAATATGTATTAAATACACATTAATTATTGATATATGATCAAAATTGATGTTTCCAGATTTGGCTTATAATTCGGCTATTTTTTAGAGGTTAGCAAAATTAATTAAAGAATTAATAAGTAAGATGTTAAATAATAACGTAAAACCAGATATTTAGAGCTTCTATATTCTACGTCAGGCATGATGCCATTTTTTTCGTATTTGCAAACCCCTCCCACCTTTAAAATCAAACCGATTTAAGAAATAAAAACTAATCACGTACTATTTAATGATTGGAATAAGTTTCAGAACTAGTGTTTCTAGAAGTTTGGTTTATTTACGCTTAAAGTTTGACGTCATAGTTTCATTTTGTTTATAACTCGGCTTCTTTTTTTGTCATTTGTAAATCGGATATAAGAAAAGTACTAGTCAGGCAGTAATTATTAGCGAAAACCAATGCAGTATACTATCGAACAAATGGATTAAAATAATATGCAATTCACAACATTGATAAAATCTCCAGAATAAATGCTTTCATCGCTTTTTAATCGTAAGGTTGGCCAAAATTTTGTTGCTAATAATTTTTCCCCTATAATTACTACTATTTATTAGCATATATTTAAAAATTGATGAGTCTAATTGCTCAGCTAACTTTAATGAAGATGATATAAAGATATTACATATTTTTTTAAAAACACAGGATACGTAGGACCCGGTCGAAAAATGGACTAATAGGAGATTGAAAGCAAACAAAACAATATTTTGATACCCCCCCCCCCCACACTTTTTAGATAAATCTTTGAAGAAAAATCCTCTAATAAATTGATCGAATTTACACGTATAAATAAAACCGTAATCTAATTTTCATAATTATGCGAAAAAGTACGAGAAATAATAGAAATGCTTGAGGCGTTTATAATAATAATAATTTTAAAAAATTTAAGCAACATACCTAAATATAAATAATAATGTCTTCTCGAAATTATTCGCTCAATGTTTATAAAACAACATATTAATACAAGTTTTGAGATCTTATGTCAAATTTAATATACAACAAAAATGTTCTAAAACAGGGTAAATAAAATTATAATAATTCGATCCGTTCCTTTTATAAAGAGTTAGTTTCTATTATGGATCAGTTGAGACGGGGGGGGGGGCTAATCAATAACTTTATAAGTTTGTTCAATCTTGTATAAACCGCGATATTAAAAATTGAAATAAACCAACGATCATATTTTTCTTAATATTTAATTTTTAGACTACTTACATACACAATAAAAAAAAATTCCGGATACGCTAATTTAAATTCACATTGTAATTATTAAGACCAGGCGCGTAATCGATGGGAAGGAAAAGAGGAAATCCCCCCTTCATCGCAAATTTGTCTGTTTTCGTAAATATCATTTTAAGCTAATATAAATTTCTTTCCTATACCCCCCACCCCTACCTTTAAAAAAGTATACAATATATCATTACAAGGAAGAATTCGAAAAAAAAATCAGTAAAAGTTAATAACTTTTTAAAATAACGACTATAATTCAAAATTTTCTTAAAAAAAGTGAAAACCCAAAATTATTTTTATAAAAATTGAATATAGCTATAGCCAAAGGCCTAAAGTGTACAGATCTCCAATAAAATTTATGGGGAAAAATTTCCCCTAATAGTGATTTTCTCTTCCCTCCTTTAAAAAAAATCCTGGATACGCCTATGATTAAGACTACAAAATGTAATTAAATATAATAGCAAGGAATCAAAAATGCTTCATATTAAATTAAAGTGCTTAATTTTTTTATTAAAATTATTACCTCGGCTTGGTTAGCACTCTTGTATCCGAGAATGAAACGCAAGGATTCCCAAGGATAGATAATTCTCTCAAAGATAATAGGTAAGAAAGGTGGTATACCTTTAAATAAAATTGATTTTAATAAAATTAAAATTAATAACGATATATAAAAAGTAATTAAATAAAATATTAATTATTATAATAAAAGAAAGATCTGAATAAACAATTTTTTTTAAAAATATTATATAATTATTTTTTATATTTATTAAATAAGGGGGAAATAAACTTATTAAATATATTATAATAATAAAATAATTTAACTGTAGTATAGTAATATAAAGAAGGCAGGCGCAACTAATAAAAAAATAATAATATATTATGCAAAATTTAGTTTTATTTACCTTTAAAAAAAATAAATAATAAAATAATCTTATCTATATCTACCTATATTATAATAAGTCACTTTTATATTTTATGAATTTTACTTTACATAATCTAATCTTCTAATATTATTCATATTTTATTTTCAATAACATGAAAAAAAGTAACAAAAAAAACGTATAATTGCTAATTTTTTTTTATTACCTTTCGCTTATGATTACCATTATAAGCCTGCTTGATTATTTACCAGGGATCTTATCTGCAGGCGGGACCCGTAAAAAAATATAACTCCAAAAATTCGAACTGAGCTTAAAATTTTTAAAACATTGGGGTAAAAATTTAAAAATGGAGCGGGCCGATTCTAATTTTTTTTTAAAAAAATTATGAAATTAAATCAATGAGAAAATTTTTGAAAATCTCACAATGAAACGTTTAATATTCATTTACAGCTCATATTTTCATTTCTATTTTGAATCAATTTGCAAAATAACAAAATTTTAAAAACTATAAAAATCAGGACTTGGCTAAAAAAATATTTAAAAAGGAATATCGGGCGAGTTTGAAAATAATTTATTTTTTATCTGGACGGTCCGTGTTTGAAAATGGGGAAAATTCAAATCTTATACACTTAACAAGAAGATGTTTTCAAGATTTAAAAATAATAAGATACAGAACTAATGAGAATATAGCAATTAAAAATAACAAAAAAAAGTAATATAATTTTTGAAAAAAAGAAAAGGGAATTAATTTTTTAAATATTTTAAAAAGCAGCAAGTAACGGGTAATGAATCGGACAAAAATCTCTGAACGTAATTTATTATTCTGAAAAGTGAAAAAACGGACAAAAATGAATATTTACCTCTCCCCTTTTATTTTTTTACTAACACCCATTAGAACATTAGATAAGCTTTGCAAATATAATGTAAAATATAATATAATTTATGTGTTATTAATTTAAAAATAATCATTGCAATTTTTTTTAAACATAATATTTAAAAAAAGCACTTACAACCTAGCGACGTCAAAGTGTATGGTTTAATTTGGTGTTTACTTTGACAATTGCCTATTATGCAGAGTTGTTAAACGCTACTTTTAAAAGTCGCGCGCTACCGCTATTTGTTAAAAAAAGTAGCGCGCTACCGCTATCGCTATTTGTAAAAAAAGTAGCTCGCTATTAGGTACTTTTTATAAAAAAAATTTACAAACAAATTTTTTATTTTTTGTTTATAACGTTATTGTATAGTAAATATATAAAAATCAACATTTATAAATATTAAAATATAGTTAGTTTTGATTATAAAAAAATTTATGAAATAAAAATAAATATTTATGGTAATTTGTTGCATTTTAATAATAAAATCATTTCAATATTATCATCCCCAAGTTTAGAGCGACGATCAGAAAGTATAAGTTTTGCCTTACTAAATAATCTCTCGACACTAGCACTTGAGGGTAAGGTTATATACATGTTTTTAATATAAGATAGATTATCAATAATTTTATTTGCAAGTACATCGTATGTCTGGCATCCTAATATCATTTTGAGGGATAATGCCATAGATCTTCTTTTTAAAGTCCTAGGGTATAGCCAATGGCCTGTGATTCCCAAATAAGCTCAAAATTATTTAATCAAATCAATTTATAAATATAAATAAGTTTTTACCTTCTGTTATGTGTCCAACTATCTTCCGTGGTACATATATATGATATAACTCTACTATTAGAACATCTTTCATCATTTTAAAGTTATCTGCTATTTTATTCATTAGTGTCTGGTGGCATAAAATTGTTGTACCAAGGGATAGAATTTTAATCAACATGGTAAATGATAGATTATCAACTAAGGACATTGGCTGAACTGTATAAATTATGAAATCAACAATAACTTTATCAGCCAATTTCTGAGAAATATTGTCATTTGCATTATTAATTAATTTGGTGAATTGAAATAGTCTTTTTGGATGTAGAGTCGCTTATACCAAAATTATTTAGATGTTTCTCCATTTCCTTAAAACTCATGAACAGTCTTATAAAATAAATATTATTTGAATGTAAAAATGACAATTTACCTATAGGTGTTTCTTGAGGTTATAGCTACTGGATTGATTTGAGGAAATATTTTTTTTTACATTTTAAACAAATAAATTTGAAACCAGTTTTGGTTATATATTTATTTTAAAAAATTTTCAAATCTAGGGAATGGGAAATTTGAATTATAGCTATTAAAAACATTTTGTTCCCTGGTATCTTCCATTTCATTAATATCATTGTCTGAATCACTTTCAACGATTTGGATATCCATAGGCTATGACATTTTAAATTATTAACACGTGATTTGGAGTTATAATACAAATGAAAATATAAATTTCAAATTGAAATTTTATTTCAATTTCAAAATTAAATAATAAATCATAAAAATTATAATTAATTATGATATTATATTTAAATTTTCATGTTTATACTTACCTTCATTATATTTTTTAAAAGTAGCGAAGTAGCGGCTACTTAACTACTTTCAAAAAAAGTAGCGCGCTAAAAAATTAAATAATTACAAAAAAAATAGCCGCTATTAGCTATAGCTACCAAAAAAGTTAGCGTGCTAATTTAACAACTCTGGTGAGGAGTTGTATAGATTATGGCGGTGAAACATGGACAATGAAAGTGGCTCACAAAACTAATTTAGAAAGAGGAGATGACGATGATTAGATGTATGTGTGGGGTATCTTTGAGAGCAAGAAAAACAAGCAAAAAATTGCGAGCAAGGGGGGATAGAAGTAATTGGAATGGTAATGAGAAGAAATAGACTTAGATGGTTTGGGCATGTAGAACAAAAGAAAACTGGGTAAAGAGATGCACCTCGAAAGAAGTAAGAGGATCAAAATTTCGAGCAAGGCCTAAGATGACGCAGATAAATGTGATAGTAGTGGATATGAGAAAAATGAATCTTACAAATATTGATGCTCAAGACCTTCAAAAATGGAGAATAAAAATCAGAAGGGAAATTAGCTTAACTGCGTAAACCTAGAAATCGCTATTAAACGGAGAAGAAAAAACACAACCTAGTCCATCTCTTGCTCCGGGTGCAATTATAACTAGTCTGTCTACACCAATAATTTCAATGGTTCTTTGTTTTCAACATCCGTCCAAGCCCCGGAATATAAATCTAATTTTACCAATAACTAAAAGGTGTCGACCAAGGCGCAGAGTTGAATGACAATGGGAAAACGCAGAAGAAAGCGATGCAGGCTAGAGATTTTTACCGGTACATTTTTTTTTATTGCGAATAATTTTATTTAAAAAACGGTTTCAATTTAGAAATAAAATAATATATAATGATATCAAAAATATATTTGAAAAAACAAATAAGAATTTTCATTTTTAAATAATCACATGGTTTGAACATATTTAAAAATTATATCTTCTTCTTCTCCGTTTTATGGCGATTTCCAGGTTTACCCGGGTAGGCCAGTTTTCCCTCTGATTTTTCTTTTCCATTTTTGACGGTCCTGAGCATCAATACTTGTAAGATTCAAGCTTCTCATATCCGCCGCTATCACATTTGTCCACGTCATCTTGGGTCTTCCTCTAGGTCTTGATCCTCCTACTTCCATCATTGTGCATCTCTTTACCCAGTCATCTCTTGTCATACGTTCCACATGCCCAAACCATCTTAGTCTATTTCGTCGCATTACCATACCAATCATTTCTATACCTAATCTTGCTCGCAATTCCTTGCTAGTTTTTCTCTCTCTCAGAGATACCCCACACATCCATCTAACCATCCTCATCTCTGTTCTTTCTAATTTGGCTTCGTGAATTGCTTTCATTGCCCATGTTTCACCGCCATAAACTAAACAACTCCTCACGCAGCTTACGTAAACTTTCCCCTTTAACTTCAGAGAAACTTTTTTATTTGTAAGAATAGATGACATCTCTCTGAACTTCTTCCAAGCTTGTCTGATCCTTGCAACAACAGCAGAATCTACACCACCATCTGCGTTTAGCATATCACCTAAATAACAAAACTTATCCACTTTTTCTAGGGTTAACCCATTGCCAATATCCAGACCACCATTTTTTAGGTTATCATTATTATGTATCCCTTTCATGCATGTTTTACAAATAAAGGTCATTCTTTCTAACATCAAACTGCCTTTTTTCCCACTACATCTTTTATGTACCCATTTCTGGCATCTGGTGCATTGGATAGAATTTCTAGCAACTCCTTTCCCACATACACCACAAGGCCACTTACCTGATTCTTCTATCTTTAGATTTTCCCCACCAATCATCACCTTTGTTTTTGATGCATTCATTTTCAGGCCCTTTGCTTCCATAGTCATCTTCCATTTACTAACTTTATCCCTCAATTCTCCCTCACTGTTTGCCATTAATACAAGGTCATCTGCATATAATATCTCCCAGGGAAGTCCTTCACGCATTTCTCTAGCCACCACATCCATTACTAAGATAAATAATAATGGACTCAGCACGGATCCTTGATGAAGTCCTACCTTCACCTCAAAGCTGTCACTATCACCATGATCCGTCCGTACTGCTGTTTGTGCTCCAACATACATTGCCATCACTGCGGTAACTAACCATTCCTCCACACCGGATTTTCTCAAGGCCCATCTTGTAATCTCACGCGGCACCCTATCAAATGCTTTCTCCAAATCAACGAACGCATAATAGAGTTTCTTTTCCTTCGCAAGATACTTCTCCTGAATTTGTCTCAC